ATTTACGATTAATTAGTTAATTTTTATTAATCGATTAACAGCCCTAATTTCTTTGTATGTATGGATCACTTGGGTTGTTACCGACATCTGGTGAAAATTTCATGTCATTAGCACCTCTAGTAATATATTTACTGAGGAAAATGTTGACGTGTTCAATACTTATTTTACCCGCTGTATGTAATGTTGTTTCTGCTATATGTATTGTTGTACGGTTCATCATCTTTAATGTTAGGATCCAGGTAATTGTTGCGGTCTCTTTAAGAGTTCCGGTGACGTTTCTGAGGGTGTTTTTTGTCAGCTAATGTGCAGTGCCATTTTAGTTAGATGTTTTTCTATTAATAAACGTGACTCACGGAGTCAATGTGAGAAGTTTTCGGCTTGGTTTTTCCGTCAAAAGGCAACTTCCACAGAATATTGTTTGTTTAGTAAATTCTAGTAGTTTAGAAATTTTTATATTTTTTGTAAAATTTAAAATAATAATTAATATAAATAAATGTTACTACACCCAAGATTCATTTTTTTCAGTGTGGTAAGACTAGAGTATGGTTAGGTAAGACTGTGGTACGGTCTGGTAAGACTTCATAATTATTATTAGTTAACTGACTGACTTGTTCTACTTTGACTGGTAACAGAATATTTAGGTRCTTGCGGATCTTGAGTAACTGAAGCATTTTTCATTGGTGGAATAAAATCCATCATGTTTATGACAAACAGATCCACTTTAGGATTTTAAAGTGGACTCAGTCAGTCCTGATGAGAATGTGGGAACCACTTCAAAGCAGTCCTCCTTGTTTGAATGAGATTACGCCCAAACCCTCATGTGACAGTGCTCATATCATCATTCACTGTGCTGGCTCTTCCAGTTCTGTGTGTGTAAGGTAAATCTCCCAGTGTTCTCTTTCCAAGTCTATTATTAATGCTGGTGTCACAAAGAGATCAGTAGGCTACCCTGTCAGCTGCCACCTAATGTTCCTCATCTGTGAATGCAGCATTTCCTTCTGATGCAACTTCAGCAAAAGTGTCATTTCTTAACATTACTGCTTTATTGTTTTTATTGTTTTTCTTGTTTTTGTAATTTTAATAGTCTAAAAAAACTACATTCCCAGCTGCAGTTTGGACTTTTACAACTGCAGTAGTGGTTAATGATTTATGATTATTAATTATTAATCAGAGTATAATATTAACTTTACACACGTGAGTCATTCAGAAAGCATGTTTCGATGTAGATGTGCAGGAGAAGCTTCCTATGAAAACATGTGACAGCAACAAGCCAGACAAATGTGTGAAGTGTTATATATTTATCCCTGAAATG